GGAGAAATTTGGTCGCTCGTGTAAGTTGATCGGAATGTCTGCAAAGAGGCATGCGAGTGAGGATGCAGCTCTGTGAACGAACCTCAGATGACTTTACTGTTGTCTCTGGTGTGAAACAAGGCCCCTGTCCTATATAATATTTATCTTCATGCCATGAGTTCTTGTGCTGACGATGCTGCCTGTGATTACGGTGTCTATGTGGATTACTGAACATCCGTCGTTTCAGAACGAGAACCTTAGTGTGCGAGACAACCATCAGGACCCTGCTGTTTGCTGATGGCTGCGCACTGTTTGCATACAATACAGATGAGTTGCAGCACATGACTACGGCTCTCACTATGACAGCGGCCAAGTTCGGGCGCACCATCAACACAAGCAAGACTGCCTTTTCCAGCCTTCACCAAAAATGGAGACCGTCGACCTGCCCCAAATCCAGGTTGCGATGAAGTGTTGGATACACCATCGGAACTTTGCTACCTTAAGTGCGTAATATCAACCAAGCTGCATATGACGAGCGCGCTGTGCATCCGCGTATCGACGGCGGCTGCTGCGTTTGGCAAACTGTAAAAAACGTGTGTGGAACAACTACCAGTTTACTGCTGGAGCAAAGCTGATGGTAGAGAAACCTGAACGATGTAGGGAAAAGAAGTCAGATAACTAGAACGATTTCAACATCAGTGTCTGCGACGGACTTCGCACATTGGGTGGTGCGACAGTGTTACGTCGCAGTGGCATATATACAGTAAACTGCATACGACTTTTCAGGTACTTGAGGTTGCTGGCACACATCAGCTGCGTGGATTCGGCGCGGATACCCAAGCAACTGCTATATGGACAACTTAGTGCAGGGCAGTAGCACGTGGAGAAACCGAAATGACCTTACCACGACATGAACCAAGTGTTTATCACGTGCTAATGTTGATTTCGGATGTTGGGAAGCAATGGCCGCTGATCGGTGCGGAGTGAGCTAATCAAGAGGGTGGTTGTTGAAGTGCAGGAGAAAAACTACCGCATGCAGACGAGAAAAGACGGCTACGGAAGAGAAAGGCGCTGAAGAATTCTAGACCATGGCGCATGGTGCTGTAGCGCATGCGGTCAAGAATACGTGTGCGAAGCGGCTTTGGTAAGCCATTAGCTTGGCCACGCGGTGCCAACATCCAAAAGAAGACGAGCCATCTGGCAATCTAAGCAGCAAAAGGGCAATGTGAGGGGTGTAAAATCTCATCAATTCAATAAGGAAACGATTCGAACCAATGAGGTACAAAAGAAACATCAAGACGTTGCAGGAATATTCGAGTCAGGAACAATCAGGTCCACACGACGCACGTACCTACATCCTCATTGGTTGGCGGAACTGATCTACCAAGCAGGACAGTTGATCTGCTAAGTGAAATTTCTTTGGTTGACTTTAGAAATGCCTGTTGATTTCACACTACCCGTACCCGTTTCGGTAGCTGATTCCGCAACACGCTTTTGCCACCCATCTTTGCCTTCTGATTCTCGGTTGGGATTCGGAACTTGCAGGGAAAGCTTCCAGTTCAACTGGAATCGCAGGCAGAGGTAGAGCATAACATATGGCGACGGATAAAGGTGGCAATGCAATGAATTTTTCTGCAGACCAATTTCAAATGTTGCTACGGCAACAGAAGACATAAATAGAGGCGAAAATGAAGCTGATCGAAACTTTGACGCAGTAGCTCAGTTTGCAGTCTTCAGAAACACCTAGGCAAGATACGCAGGCAAGTCCAGTTGACCTCCTTTGCAATTCCACTACTGATTCCGGAAGCACTTTCGATGCGTGGTTCAGACGCTGGGAGAATAGGTTCAGAAAGGATTTTAGCCGTCAGGACGACTCCTGGAAAGTGAGACTGCTGCTCCGTAAAGTGGTTACAAACAAACATTCAAGATTCAGTGATCACACATTGCAAAAACAGCCGAAAGATAACAGTTTTGCAGTGAAGGTGTTACAACAGCGAAATTTTCGGTGAGTCGTCATCGTTATACAGCATTCGGTATCTGCGTCTGAAAATCGTCAAGCGGGACAAAGACGATAATGGAGTGCTGGCAAACATGGTCAACCGTGAGTGTGAACGCTTCAAGCTGCGCTCTTTGACAGATGACCAATTCAAGTGTCTCATATTTATCGGTGCCTTACAGTCCCCGCAGGATGCCGAGATCCGCACAAGACTACTCGCAAAGCTGGATCAAGACCCAGAAACGACGCTGAAATCCCTCACTGTCGAGTGCAAACGATTGATGACTCTGAAACACGAGACCGCCATGGTCGAGAATTCTTCCGTGCAATCACGATGTCCATGCCGTGACAGGTCCCAAGCGAAACAGGGCTGACAGTTACACACAAAAGTCACAGAATCGACCGCCTACTGCCTGCTGGTCATGCGGTGAGTGGCATTTCGCCCGATTCTGCCCATTCAAGAAGCATATTTGTCAGAAGTGCCAAAAATGAGACCACAAGGCAGAACTCTGCAAGCAGTCTCGACCAGTGAACACAAAACCGATCTGCCCTAAGATCAAAAATACCGTGGCAAACTCTCAGTCAGTCGTTGCCGTTTTCCAGAGTGAGTTCAAAAGCCGCAAACGTTACATTACCGTGCTTATCATCGGGATTCTTTCTGGGTTCAAGTTTGACACGGTCTCTGATATAGCTATCATTTCCAAGAGCACATGGAATCACATCAACAGGCCGGCGGTTACCGCTTCTGACAAAGTGGCTCACAATGCATCTGGAGGGAGTGCGGAATCTGGATGGAGAAATCATTTATAAAAGCGCATTTAACGGGGTAGGAAAGACTGGAATATGCTACCTGACGGATCGACTGAACCTAAACCTTTTTCGAATAGAACTGAATCGCGAAACTAGGACTCTTTGTTGTCCCTCGTAAACCAGATTTGCAACCGTTATACGCTGAAGCCTCAAGCACCGGAGTGTTCACAGCAGAAGCGAGGAGAAAACAGCTCCGCAAGCCATCCCATACACTTCGATCAGCCCCTGAGTCCTCATACGGCGGAAGGAACGGGGAAATAGAGCAGGAATTCAATCAGCGGTGTAAAGCAAGGCAACGCCCATTCAAGTCCAGAGATCCAGTGCTCGCATGCGACTATCCAAAAGACCATACAGCATGGACCCCAGGTGAGATCAAATACAGACGTCATACAGACGTCACTTATGATGTGCACTTTGAATCACAAACCTGGGTCTGCCACGCAAATCAGTTCCACCCAACGCTGTGGCGGCCGGGATCGAGGAAGCCAGCTATGCTACCTTTCGATCACAATGTGGATCAATCCAACTTGCCGAAACCAGACAGGAAGGGTCACAGTCAATGAAACGATGCATCGCAGAATCCAGAGTCAACTCCAAAGGCACTTTGAACCAGGCGAGAGAAGGACAGACGGAAAACACCATCATCAAGACGGCAAGTCAACCCGAGTTTATGGTCTGACACAGCATCTGCAATCTTAAGAGGGGAAATATCAGGGGAGTAAAATCTCCAAGGAAAACGCATTAATTCATTGGGAAAACGACCTGAACCAATGAGGTACAAAAGAAACATCAAGACGTTGCAGGAATATTCGAGTCAGGAACAATCAGGTCCACACGACGCACGTACCTACATCCTCGGTGGTTGGTGGAACTGATCTACCAAGCAGGACAGTTGATCTGCTAAGTGAAATTTCTTTGGTTGACTTTAGAAATGCCTGTTGATTTCACACTACCTGTACCCGTTTCGGTAGCTGGTTCCGCAACACGCTTTTGCCACCCATCTTTGCCTTCTGATTCTCGGTTGGGATTCGGAACTTGCAGGGAAAGCTTCCAGTTCAACTGGAATCGCAGGCAGAGGTAGATCATAAGACGCAGCGTTCGATTCTATACGATTTCCTAACCCAGGCACATAAGGCAGTTTTTGTAGTACGTGTGCCACATCACCGTTGGAGTTGCTGTACGTGTGCCTGAGTGTTAAGATTCTTGTATTTCAGAAAGAGGGCGTTGACTGATATCCCGGAGTGTGGCTGCGCATGATGTGAATGTTGACAAGATGCCTACCTGCCAGACACCCTCCACTTCGTCTATACTGACTCCAGAGAGTTGGTCAATGCTGTGGGGTCGGGGTGCATGATCCTCGTGGCCCTGCTAGGCTCAAAGAGTGATTCCATCCAGTGTGGTGTGGGCTACGGCCAAACCACCGCCTTGTGTACCTCTGGTAGATCATTGTATCTGTCCTGCCTATTGAAGGAGTGTGGGCCAACTCCGTTGATGAAACGTCGCTTACACCCACATGACACCCGGTCTTATTTCTTCGGGATTCCACTGTATATGGGATGTGTGGGTGCAGCGCAATCCACCCATGGTCCCTGAGCGGGCGCAAGCGTCTTGCGGATGTCTCCATGGAAGCCGCAGTGACAAGCAAATCTGGAATTGAATGCAGCCTGTCATACATATAAATTATCCAAGTATAAACAGCTGCAACACGATCATTCCGTTGTTTCGTTATCTTGTTAGACTATTTCAAGAGAGTTTTCTAACGTATATCAGGGCTATCACTACTGAGATTGTATCAGACCATTCGCTCACTGCTGAACTAAAAGCAAGTACAATGAAAGTAGTTTGTGATATGATAAGGATGCTAAACTCCGCTAGGCCATACCGAATAGGAACGGTGGCGCAACTATGGATGCGCGACCATGCGTAAATGAAACATGAAGTCTAGGACCGCATCCCAGCTAGCTAAGATGATTTCAAAAATCAGTAGAACGCTAGAAGAGTAAGACAAAGTAAGCTTAAAAACCGAAGTGAAATAGTAATAAGACATCCGATCCCATACCAGCGTTAATGCAGAAAGCGGCTTTTACATGGACCCGCAGCAAGCATTTTATGGACACGACGTAGGTGAAATGCCACAGATACCAACAGAACTAAATTATGTTGAGACGTCACTGAATGTGTGCCTTTCGGAATCAGCAATAAGTGGTGAACTCACCTTAGGCTCATATCCTCACGCGCCACTATGAAAAGCAATGGATATAAATTGAAGCAAAACCTACCAGTATACCACGTGAACACGGACAGGCATCCTTGAGTATGAAAATATATCACAGGGAACGGGAATGATCGATACGAAAAAAATGTGCGGAAAAAGCTAATAAGGTCAGTTGTTAGACGCATCTTACCTTCAAGAAAAGATGCAATCAAAATAACGACGAGTATGGCAAAATTATGATAACGAAAAGCTACGCCCACAAAAGGTTTGCTAAAAAAGATGAAAAACGAAGTGAGGCTAGAGCTGATCATCGATGTTATGCGAGTAGCGCCAGAGAAAAATATATATGTTTAGCGGCATCCGATTTCGAATTTGCCTATCACTATGGCCAGCAGCAGGACGCCTGTGCCTACAGAGGGACCATGGATGGCTTGCGTTGCACCACCCATAGCTCCATCCACACACCCCATATCCAGTGTAAACCCGAGGGAACCTTTGATTGGACATAACTGTAATAACACTTGGGATTAGTTTTCGCAAATTTAGCCAACCTAAGCTCATATGAGTACTTCGCCTGCCGCTGTAACTTAATAGCCATGTTTCGACACCTTTTGTATTGCAGCCAACGTCGGAAGCCCCGAGTTTCTTGATATTTTCCCCACTCAGCATAGCGCCTTTTTATCGCCCTATCAATTTTTCTTCTCCACCATCGGGGTTTCCCAAGATGTCTCCTGGGGCGAAGAGGAGCAAAGTCGTTCAGCAACTGTACAAGTCCACTTTTGAGTAAAAGCCACCTCTGTTCCAAAGCGGCCTTGTCCCGTTCAGGAATCCAAGTGATCTGAAGGGCTCGACCCCACAGCTTCGTAAAATCAATACGATTTAAATTCCTTCCCATTCGACAGTTCTCTGAAAGCCTCGGTGTGTCCAGAGAAAAGGTCAAAACAATTATCACTCTTACCTATGGGTGGCTCCCCGCATAGGTCAATCAAGTGATCATGTCTGGCGATCACGATATCGAGGGTTGAAGGGGTACTCCCAGTACGACTCCTAGTCGGAACATTGACGTATTGTTCGAACGCATTTACATGCATCCAAACTACTAGTTCCTTCTCTAAAGTACCTACCCTGTGTTCAGCATGCTGCCAATCAGCATGCGGAAGGTTTAGATCACCGACGATCCGAAAGTTAGGTGCGGCCATTGCCGCCTGTCTTAGTAACGTACCAAGATCCCTGTCCTCTTCTCGCGTGGAGGATGGGCTACAATAAACACATACCATAATATCCAATCTAACCCATGCTCTTAGATAGCAGGATACCACCTGAACGTTAGCAGAACTCACGGTAAATGGAGCCTCCCAGTGTGTATATCGGCACTGTATAAGCAAGAGTACTCCTCCACCAGTCTGATACCCGGGCCTGTCAGCGCTGTAGCACGCAGTCTATAAGCAGATCACCAATAAGGTCATCTGGAGAGAGCCAGGACTCCGACACAGCGGCCACATCAACATGCTCACAACGCGTCACTAACTCCCCCCATTTGTTACGCACACTACAACAATTAGTGTACTACACGCTTAGTCTCTCCGAACGCGGTTGTTTCCCCTCGGACGTAGAGCCCGAGGGGATAACCCGCTTTTTTGTACCGTTTCATTTCGATCGGCTGCCTGAGTCGATGAAACAACGCCGGGCTGCTGTAACGCATTACGGGATAGTCCCTTTCCTGGCTTCGCCCGGCTGGGCTTGCTGGATCAACTCCCGACGGGTTTTCTCCCATTTACCTGAGTCGACCTAACAGCACTGCACTTCAGATTTTCTGTACGGTCCAGTTTAGGTGTGGCAAGTTTTTCATTTATTCAATCATTTTGTGAGAAGGGCATACGACCCATAGACTTTGGTGTTACTACTATCGAGCATGAGCCCTCGATTGTTTTTGAACGCACCGGCTGAAGTTCCATTGCCACACCTTCACTATCCTCTTCCGCCATAGAGGTGTGATCCACATTTCCATCAAGAGCAAGTTTCTCCACAACCAAATGCAGGCCAGGAGTTATCTCACTGGCGTCTTGTGAAGGGGGTTGTCCAGACAAGCTGACTGCCCTTGCCACAGGAGAGCAGACGCTAGAGTTTTGTTTAGGTTCTCCACTATATCTCGTACTAATTTCTCAAGTAACTTGACGACCACGCTAGTCAAGCTGACATGCCTGTAATTAGCCGGTAGGTCTGTCACCGCACTTGAAAATCGGGCAGACAACAGCCTCCTTCCATACGGTAGGCAAGATACAGCTGTTGAGTGACTTCTGGAACACACAAGTCAGAGGTCCACTGAGTTCCCCTGCCAATTCGTGCAACAATTTTGGATGAACAGAATCTGGCCCAGAAGCCTTAGTTGGGTTCACCTCTTTTAGCAACCGGAGAACTTGGGACTCCGTTACAGGAATTTCATCCAGACAACAGTCCTCAGGGACTCTTGGAGCTAACTCTTTGCATGGCGTATTTGTCTCGCGGACAAAGACGCTTGAGTACTGCTTACCAAGCACGCATGCCTTGTCATAGTCGCTATAGGCATGGGTCCCATCTCCTCGAAGCAATGGTGGAATGGACGAGTTTGCACCACAGCGTCGTTTAACGTAAGCGAAGAATTCCTTGGGATTTTTCGAAGCAGTATTAGCTAAGCCCTTTTCATACTGAAGCCGGGCCAACCTAAGATGTAGCTTGCACTCATTTCGAACCAACCGATACTTGTCAAACGTGCTGTTCGACGGAGCTGTTCGGTAAGCTCGCCAGCATCTAGACCGCTTCTTTAGTAGGCTCTTCCCCGCGGAATCTATCCACGGAGGTCGCGCTCTCGATTCCCTTCTTTTTACCAGTGGGATGTGAGGTGCAGAAATGTCGACGAGGTGAGCCTTAAGCTTTTCCCAGGCTATGTGAACAATGTCGGTCTCAGATATCACACAAGGCGATGACCTAGCTTTATCCCGCATCGCTTGGAAGTCCGCGGCCCAAATGTTCGGATACCAACTGGTAGTAGCTTGGCAAGGCCTGATAAGAGCACACTGGAAGACAAGCAAACGTGATCGCTAGCGACAAGAGACGAGTCGTATTTAATGTCATTTACAAAGTCAAGTGACTTAGCAAAAACAATATCTAAAATGGACGGCTGCTGATTGCTCATGTACCTAGTGGGGAGGTCTATGAACTGGTGTAGTGGTACCTGCAGCGTCAAGTCCAGCAGTTCTGTACCGAACGATTCCAGCGCCGAACTGCAAGATAGATCATCCCAACAGACCTCTGGGAGGTTGAAGTCTCCCAGCACCAGACACTTGTTCGCAGAGTGAGTGCGTATACACTCTATGATTCCATTTGAGGTGCTCATAGGGCTTCTATACACTAACACGACCGTAACCTGAACCGAGGAAGCGCAAATCAATACTGCGAGTGCCTCAACAGATTTGTCGAGAGACTGAAAAACGCTGGTCCTCAGTACGTCGATGTGATAACTCACATAAAGAGCTACACCACCCCCTTGACGGCCAATGGATTCTCTCTTTGACTCCAACGCCACAAGTGTGCTCACCACATTTATAGCCAGCCACCGATGTCATTACAAATAGCACGTAACAGTCACGTATAGAATAAAAAAGCTGAGTAGTTTGGTAGGATTAACTGACCAAATTAATGCAGGTATGACGGCTTAAGAGGAATAAATAGTCACAACAAGTTAATACAATAGAAAATAAAACAATATTAAATAAGACAATAAACACAGCGAACTAACACGACCAAAAGGAACAAAGAGAAGCAATAATGGAACGAACTCACGCGGGTACCGGAGATCGAGGATTTCTTGGATCAATATTTGATGGAGCAGAGTAAAGATTTCCCACTCAGTCAGTTTAGATCACGCTTCCAAGCCAAATTTGAAGGTAGAAACTTCAAGAATGAGCTTTTTCAAAATTTCAAAGCGCGCGCCAAAGGCACTGTCAAACTGATGATCCACGTGAGGAAGTTCACTCCCATTGAGCACGTAACTTGTGGAGGAAGCAAACGATCCGATACGCAGCACTGAACACTTTGCTCGGTTTATGGGCAGCAACCACAAGACAGACCAGTCACAGAGTCTATCCAGAGCCCGTTGAAGAGCCACAGGACCTCCAAGGATATCAACAATATTCTAGAGCTTTAGGTCATCAGCAAATAAGAGCGATGCCACCACAAGCTCCTCCTCAATTTTTCATGGAAGTGCATGGGCGCCCGCCTTGCCGGTTGGCGAGTTGGTAGTGTGTTTCCGTTGTCAATGCAGTGTTGATTAAAAGCACACCGACCTACATCATCGGACCGCGCAAACGTATGTTTGCACCTCTCGAAGATGTTTTCTAAACCACTGGGGGGCAGAATCGAAGTTTCCGAAAGGTGGTTATGGAAAATTCCTGTTTCGGTCCCTATTTTACTACTCATGCAGTTTAGATGCTGTATGGTCATGTAAACGGTAATGGCAAGTTAAGGGTTATTTCTATTTACCTTATGGTTAAGGGATGAAGGCAGTGTAAGTGGTTTGTTTATACTAGTTATTTAGCTTGTACTGTAGAATGCAGACAAGGGAGAACCACAAGGATTGAGACGTAAGTTCTATTACGCAACACGTAGGGTCTATAAGAAAGAATCAGTAACGTAGGAAGGGATGAAGGAAAAGTTACAGTCAACTGTTCGCTTCAGGTTTTTGTCCTTCTTCAATAATGGCGCAGGAGTGTCTTTCTGAAAGGCAGGCAGAAAAGGTGTCGTCAGAGCAACGATTTAAATTCAACCACGCGCCAAACTAGTTTCGATCACCCTTTACACCGCACCCCTTCTATATAGGCAACGTCCCCGTTGCCACACAAAGCCCCCTTGAGCTGGTACTTCAACTTCGGTGGCTACTTCTGTCGGTGGCTCATTGTGATGTTCCTCATCCGAATGCTCAGATTCGATATGGAAAAGTTTAAGCCGATTAAAGTGTACGACCATGGGCGGCCCAACGGCGTTCTTTGGGTCCCTAATCACACAAGTCAGATCAGAAATTATTCGGTCTACCACGTAGGGGCCAGCCCACTCACGATGCAATTTCGCTGGTATTCCGGATACCGGTGCCTGGTGCAAATATACGAGGTCGCCTGTTTTCAACGGGACACCGAAGACCTTCTTGTCGTAGTATTCCTTCTGTCGCCGTTGAGCGTTCGCCAAATGGATGCGTGCCGCTTCAGTGTCTGCTCATCCGTGACTCTGTCAAATGAGCGTGTAAAGGCGTTAATGTACTTCTCACTCTCTAAGGTGTCCT